TGGCGGGCAGGCAAGGACAGGGAGCGCCCTCTCGCTCATATCAACCTCCCAGGCGGGAGTGCCATCAGTCCAAACCGCGCACAGCTGGGTTACCAGGTGCCGGTACTGGCTGAGCCTAACAGCCGGCAGGGAGGAAAACTAGCAGGAAGGAGGAAGAAAGGCTCAGTTTAAACCAGCCCTTAGCAAATACTTGAGTGCCGTTAGAGAAGAATGGCAGGGTTGGCCTGGCTCCCCGTGCAACCTCCTGGACCAGTGGTGGCAGGCAGAGGCCGCATAGGAAGTTGTGCTCTTTTTCCAGGGGGAAAAGGGAATGGTTGGGGAACCAACCAGACGAACACTGGGATGCACTGAGACCTTCTGAAGGACTTGCAAACCCCTTGGTGGAGGTCAGGCGTGATGGACACAAATGGGCACTGTTGTTGCAAAGCCTTTCCTCTCCAGGCTCTGTGAGAAGTGGGAATAAGCAGGGCTTTGGGTCTGAGGCAGCTCTGTGGTCACAGGCTTCTGCAGGAGGAACTTCGGGCATTGAAAACAGCTGGGTGGGGGTGAGGGGAGCGAGTCTGATGGGCACAGAGGATGCCCCAGGCCAAGGCACAGCCTGGGAGTGGGAGACGTGGAATCCCACCCTGGATGGTGAATGACCTCAGGGGGGAAAGAGGTGCAGGTGCTCCTGGAGCTGCACAGTTATGAAGTGTCTTCAGCCTTCCAGGCAGCGATTGTGCAGAGGGACATAGTGCTGCACAAGGAGCAGGTCTGTGCCTTGGATGGACACAAGCCTGGAACAGTCCCCTTCACTGGCTTTCAACAGGTCTCTGGACCCGTGCATGTGACATGGCTGCAGAGCACACGTAAAAACACAGGTGGGTTCCATCCTGAACAGCACAGCCTGCAGCCCCTAAGAACTGGCCATCTCCGGGCTGTGCTGCCCAGCTCCTTTTCCAGTGCTCCCCCACATCTGCAGGGAGGCTCTGCGGCGCCTGGGGAAGCTGCAGTTTCCAGACCTCCAGGGGCTGGTTTTCCTCACTACTGCTGCTAATACTATTATTACTTGCTGTTTCTATAGTAACGTGTACATCAGGGCAGAAGACTCCTACAAAAGGCAACCGGTCTCATGCATCCTCATCCTGTCCTCAAAAGAGCAGAAAGCAGGAATGAGGCCCCTAATCTGTGAGGTATTTTGAACATCAATCATGGGTTATTTGCATACTCTCTTCAGCTTCTAGTTCTCCTGCTTCCCTGCCACTGTGTGCAGGGGTGGCATTCAGAGTCCGAATGATAATCCGTCTTTCAACACGGGCAGGTCAGGAGGGAGCGGAGGATGTGGTTATGGAGCCTCCATTTGCTCTCTGCTCCCCTCCAGAGAGGGACATGCCATGCAGTTCCTGCAGCTGCCTCATCCCTCCTCCTTTCATCCCTGACCTGTCATATGGTTTTGCAGCTGGAACAAACAACAGGCCTGCAGGAAGCCTGGTGCGTGCCAGGTCATGGCGTGCGTCGCTTTCCAGGTGCTGTGATGAGGACTGAGCCACTCAGTGTGGGGGATGCCCTGACCCAGTGGTGGTGTCACGCAGCCCCTGCACATGCTCTGGGCACTAGTAACACAAGTTGCACATGCCAGGCCTCACACAAGGGCTGAAAAGCATCCCCGGTTTCGAGCACACATTTGGTCTCTGTTTAAGGAAGAGTAACACTGATAAAAGCCTTCCCGTTCAAAAACCTCGCGTTTTAGGCTGTATTTGCCGATGTTGTTAAAATGTGTTGAGACCCCAGATATCACCGTTCTACAACAACTGCCGGCTCGCGTAGGGCCCTCGCCTGCCCGTAGTCATGGCAGCACCGGGCTGGCTTCATCCGGCCAACTGTAGCAGGCGCCAGCCATATTGG